AGTAATTTAAATTAATGTAATTGATTTATTTTTAAAGAAACTTTGCAAATTTTTCTACATTACATTCCATGCAAGAGAAGTCAAAGTGCACTTCCGCTGTTCACGTGCCACGTCGACATATTGCTCGTGTCCCGCAGAGTGCATGTAACACGACACGTGACCATCGAATACCCCACAGATATTCTCCATCCCGATCACGCGCCCTGCGTTTGAGGCAGTATTTAACCATTAGGAACTGTTTACTTGATTTTAAGAGTCAATCCAATTCACATGATTGTCCACGGGTAAATATTAAAATACAATAGTGTTACGTTTTCACTCAAGCCAATAGCCAGCGGAGATATTTTTATAAAATATAGAATTACACGATAATAAATTTTGAAGATATTTATCGCATATTGACGTAAAAGCCGTAAATTAGAAACGAAAAATATGTCTTGCTCGAAAAATCACTCGTATTTTTACAGTAGGTGTTCTTAAATTTGCACGTGTCGTATTCGCAGCGAGAAAAAAAATCACGTGAAGGTGCAGATGACACGGGTCACATGACAAAATAATGTCGGAGCCTTCGTAGTATACCAGTCCTGGTGCATTGGACAACTCTTACCCCTCTTCGTTCAGCTTGCGGTAGACCGTCTCCTCTCCCTCTCCTCGAAAAACACGATTCACTTGGCACACAATTTTTGTGCATATAATGCACGGTACGAGAAAGCAGTCCCCCTGCTTAATTTAATCCAATACAATATGTCCCCTTGTCTCACTCCGATTTTACCCCTCACCCGCGAGGGCTTAGTTAAAGAGGGTGGGTGGCTTTTTAAAACTGTGCCGATCTCAATTCAGCGTGAAACCTCATCCCATTACGATCGGTCTAATCCTGATTGGAGCGGACAGGTTTTTTACTCTAGCGGTGTATCGGTGGCCTATGATCGTGTCTAAGGGTGAATCTCAGAAATGATCTCTGATGTTCAGTGTATATCGTATCTCAATGTGTGAATACAAAAACGCACTGATATTAATGATAAACATATTTTTTTTTTAATGTTATATTTGCGAATAAGTATGTATGTACAAGAAATACGAAATGTGTGTGTGGGGGATGTTAATAGAATTTATACATACATATACTTTTTTTCTTCCTGAACTTAATATACTTAATTTTCTTCATGTTTTAGCAGACTAAAGATTAAAAGATCCTTTAATTATTTTTTTCAATGCAATTAATTTACATGCACATATGGTTCTTATTGAAGTCTCTATTACTTGAAATAATAGTCTGATCTAACTAAATAGCGAGTGTAAAAACACATTCCGTTTTAGTGACATAACATTTGTTACTTTCGACGTAGAAGAAATAGTCTCAGCTGTGCTAGCTCTTCAGTATGGATTAGTACAATAATCCACAAGAATTAGAAACGAATTTCAAAACAACTGCTTTGGGGGAATATACCTCATCTTGAGATCGTAAGTTATTATTAAAAAATGAAAATATTCTAACTCGGTAAACGGAAATTTTTAGTAATAACAAATATACATATTAAACTCTTTTTATGTTCTCTTATTTATTTAATATGTACTTAAATTTTTGGATCTTCGGAATTACATGAATAAATTATAAATTATGTCCTAGAATGTAATCGGCTTCTTATTCTTGAAAGCATTGTGCAGCGTTTCAATGTTAATCTATAAACAGACAAATAAATGACAAATTATTTTCATATATATTACAATTACATTAATACTGTATAAAAAGTATTTTTCTTTTACAATGTTGTAATACATATTATATTATAATACGTATTATTAAGATCTCAGCAAAGAAAAAAATCTTTATTTAGAAAGATTAGTTTGGGATAAAAATTGATTTTGGCAAAGCTTATTTTTATCTCTTGCATCTTTTTTATGTCAGCGAGAGAAATTACCGCGTTGATTTCGAGAATCGATAATTAATTTCTGATAGGCCTTTCTCGTTCTTTCGGCGGTTATTGTTTGCGATAGGGATCGCGAGCGCTGCGGTGACCTGTCAGAGGGTGCAAACGAAGGAGATGGATTTGTTGCACAGCTGTGTATACTGCTTAATGTAGAAGGTACGGATTCGGATATTGCTTTTGTGCTGGTTAAGGTAAATCCTGTTAGTCAAAAGTTAACTACGTTTTGCTCATTTTCTAACACACATCATTAATGTCCTGAAAACTGCACGATAATACAGTTAACGATATTAAAAATTACCAAAAAATTATCATCAAACTATCATTAAATATTTATGATCCAATAATAATTTTTATTTTCTACATCTTTAGTTACTCTTTCATATTTTAATTTTATTTTAATTTTATTTTAATTGTTGAATAAAATTTTGCTGAGATTTTAATTTCGATCTGTCAAAATAAATCTACATTTTAAATTTTTACGTTGTAAATATATACTGAATATCGTACCAAATTATCACGCTAAATTGCGTGATTTTCTTTTGCCGCGGGTGACTCATAATTCACGAAATTGTTATCAGTTTCACCTCCTTCCAAATTATATACGTTTGCTAATTTCTTATTTCTTGAAATATCGTATTCTTCACCAAGCTGCCTGTATGTTTGCGCGCGGTTCTCCAAGATTTCTTTAATAATTTCTGTAAAATGACCGTTGTACATTTGCATATACATTGCTCATTACTATAAAAATAAATCTCTTTTTTATCTTATGTTCGATTTTTTAAATTAAAATTTGAAAAAGTATGAATATTTTTTTAAAAAAACTTTACTTTTCCAAAGCTCAGCCTTACCCATTAACAATTCTCTGCTTTCAATCATGTTACCCATTTCTTTTTTGACTTCTTTCATTAACCATGGCATAAAACCTTCTTCGACATCTGAAAGTCATATTCATGGCACATTATTGTCTAAATAAAGAGCAAGATGATTGAGCTGGAGAGAAGGGAAAAAAACAAACAAGAGCTTAAAGATAGAATCGATAAATGGATAAAAATTAAGGAACTTTTACGATTATTAAATTTGAATAAATCATTTCTTACGAACCAGCCTTAATCTCATCCAGTAAATAGCCAGACATCTTCAGACTCTCCAGAACCGCAGGTAAAAGTTCGGCGATATATCCTGTTAACAATACTGCAGCCGCGACTCGTTCCTCGGTCTCCTGCTGAGCTTTCATCGCCTTTTCATGTTGCTTCAGGCGTTGCTCCTGCAGATTGGAAATTAATTTGCTTTTTTACATTTTAAATATTTTCTCGTTCTTTATTTATGATAACATAAAGCAAATAAATAGAGAACTTAAAAGTGCCGAAGTATTAAAAGATCAAAATAGAAAATCGATACCTTGTCCTCTCTACGTCTTCTATCTTCTTCTGCTAATCGTTGCTCTTCAGCTTCCTCAGCCATGCGCAATTCGAGGAATCTTCGCTGCTGCTCCTTAAGAGCAGAGATTTCCTCCTCTTCCAGAACCTCGATTAGGGCTTGTTCAATAGTCTTGCCTACCAACACTTCCAAAATCGGTTGGATTTCAGTGTCGTAGTCGAAGAGCTGGAAATATCGTACAACATTTACTCTATAGACTGATCTGATCATAATGTGAAACATCATAATCTATTATGATAAAATATTAAGAGCACGTACTTCCCCGGGTTCGATTTGCGTGCCAACGTCTTGACCAACTTCGCTTACATAATAGTTTGGTAGTACTGGTTTTTCCAAGAAGTAATCAGTCTGTGTGGCTACTTCGGATTCGTCTGGTTTCTCTATCAGCTTGAATGTACAATATGTTCAGTTAAAAATTTGACACAAACTTCGCTTGCCTTCATGAAAAGTAATAATTAGTCGATAATTAAATAAAAAATAAATAAAATTTAATTAACCTCTTCGAGGAAAATCTCCGTTTGCACTGGTTCGTGTTTTCTTCCAGCAACCGGAGGAGGCGAACCTGATCTGGAAGTTCTGCAAGTTTGCATTTGAGCACGTTTCCTCGCCAAATGTCTTCGTCTTGCTTCCGCTTGCCTCGCTGCTATCGATTGTTCCCCATCGATCTAGATAAATACGAATTTTATGAGAAATATTATGAGAAATTGATCTTTTGTTTTAAAAAATTAATGAGGTGCTTACAAGAGTAGGAATGGAAGCGCATGTGCTTCCTCGAACCACTCGGCGGTCAAACATAATATTCCCGAAGGGAACCGAATGATCGCTGTAAAATAATGTTGTATTTACAATAAGAACTTATTTTTAATAACACTAAACAAATTTAAAAAAGCTCAGCTGAACATATTGAGTAATAATAATTATTATTATTACGAAATCCGTCGCTTTTAGGCAAACATCGACAAACTTTGCAAAATAATTTATATTTTTTAAATTAGATATATACAAAGCTATAATAATCTTAAAGCTATAATTGTCATATAATTAATTTTTTATGACTATTTCAAGTTGTATTAATTCATTTTTAATTTATTTCACTAATTTTCTTCCGATTGATAAAACATAATATTTAAATTAAATTATATGCAAAATTTTAAATTATTTTGTCAATTATTATCAAAATTATTATTAATTATATTTTATTTTAATATTTAAAGATTTATAATATATATATGTATAATTAATAATAATTTAATAATCGATAATAATCGATGAAACAATTTTAAATTTTCTATGTAATTGAGTTAAAATAATTCTATGTACATAGAAATAATTATATGTATATCATTTTGTGTAATACAAAATAGATATAATAAATAATATGCGTGTCACTACGCAGCAAATTATAATGTAGAAAAAATTTAAATACGAGGATATATCTACGATCCGATGTCATAATTTGAAATATACGTTTAAAGTTTAAATCCAGTGGATCCTAAAGTGACATTTTAGAATTAATATTATTGCTGGAGAACAGCCATTTTAATCTCATTCTTGACGATTTCTATTCTATGGATAGTCAAGAATGGGGTGCACTAAGAGCGACGACAGCCTAAAGAGAAATTCGAACGCGGCCACAAGCGCACGAGAATAAATCAGATCGACGAGAAGAAAAAAAGCGGGGAAAAAGCAGCTGCTATCGACTAAAAGACCAGTGATAAGTGTGGTGCCACTCGTAAGGTGTTTTCGTTACCCGCGAAGTCTCGGCAGCATATTCATCATGCCCTCGATCGGTTCCAACTTTTTTGGTAAAGCTCGCGGCGTCTGCGGGAATCTGCTAGAAAAACAATTCCCGCTCTTCTTACACTTTTTTTCTTATTCTCGGCATGCCTCTCATTATTTTTATTCACGCGCGTTAATTGAATTCATAATTCGTATTTTTCTTTTTAAAACAAAGATACCTTTCACGGTTTTAAATTTGAAATGTGTCAGCGATAAGCTCTTTTTGTAAGTTGCTTTTAGTAGGCCGATCGATTATGTTCCAGCAATGTCTATCTTTTTCGTAAATATTTAATGTTTGAGAATGACGTAAAATTAAAGTAAAATGCATATTGCGATTTACATTCATAAAAATATTTATAATGTACAATTTTTGTATCGTCACTTTGAATGTACAAACAAATTCAATGGAAACAGGACCTGCTGATTTTTCGTGATTTGAGATTAATAATTATTAAATGTCCCTATAATAATGATTGAGTGGAAAGTATTAGAAATGCGAGTTTTATTTTATATAACATACAATTTTAAAAAAGTCGACAAATATTTTTGTGAATACAATATTTTTCTTAGTATTATAGTGAGATTCTTGTGAGCAAAACATCATGGCAGTTTTTTTTCTCTCTCTCTCTCTCTCTCTTTCTTCTCTTTCTTTCTATAAACCGCCCTGTAGGCAGACAATCACACCGACATGCCGAATGAACGGCGTTTGTAACGCGATTGTAACTTCGTCATCTCAGCATCACTTACGTCAGTTCACTCCTCTTGAACCTTCTTGCCTGCTCATTTAAGGTCGAGGCGGTGGCGATGGTGGTGGCGTTCATCATGCCGAGGGAAAAATCTACGGTGGCCTTCAGGGCGGCTGGACATCTGGCATTATGGCTATTGTGACGTACCTCCGGTCTCTTGGCTAGCGATACCAGTGATTTGAACCTGCTCTTCAGAGGACATCCGTCTACGGCCTCCTCCTCCTCGTACTTTCTGCTGGGCGCTATGCCGAGCAAGGCCGCCACTTCCGGCGGCGGCATTAGAAATTCTCCCGTCTTCACGGTCGTGATGAACGGCTTTTTCTGCGGTAGGATCGATTTCTTAGGCGACTTGCGGCCTTGCTCGGCCTCGGCTTGCTCTTGGATTTTTTTCAATTTCGCGTTCAACACTTCATTGAAATCTTCCGTTGATAAGACAATGCTAGGTTTAACTGTAGGTGGTCTGTCCTCAGCTAACGTTAAGCTATCTTGACTTTTACTTTGATGTTTTTTCTTCAGAGGATTGGCTTGATTCGATTGTAGATTAGCCAAGACCAGATGTTCATTGGATTTGCTGATACGTCTGCGATTACAGAGGTTATTCTTCATTGCGTTCTTCATGTTTTCTAAGTTGATAAGTTGCGACGCATTCATCTCATCGTCTTCGTTGACGTGTAAAAGAGGCAGACTCGAATCCAGGCCATCCTTCTGTAAGATTGTAAAGGCCGGCGGATCCTTCGCTTCATAATCGAAAGATTCCGCATCCGTCGACGGCGCCAGAGTCGAAATACCAGCCGGCATCCTTCCGATTTCTTCAGACGTCCAATTTTGCGGCGGACATGATGAATTGGTCGAAGAGAATTAAAATCGCGCGACGTGTTTAATTTTTCGAGCGCTCCCCTTCAAAAGTGTAAAGATTACATTTTATTTGAATGATTTTACTCGTTATGAGAGATTTATATCATGCAGAAGGAGGTAATTGTGCCATGAAAATTTCCAAAGCTATTATCTCAAGTCTTAGAAGTCTATTGATCGTTCATTGATTGTCCGTATTTGCTAAGTGAGAACATGACATAGAAACTGAACGTGGCGTTTGTAATTATATCTTTAATTATTCACCGATGAAGTCACGAGAGATCTAGCTATAAGCAAGATTGTCTAATTATGAAATATGAACAGCAATTTAGCGATAATTCACGGTGAGAATCATGGTGAGAAGTTTTTTTATTAATTCTGATAAAAATGCTAAAATACGAAAATTTTTGTAAATTTAATTAAAAGTGTGATAAGATATGCTGAGCGCAATATTATACATACGTATATTATTTACGTAGCAACTCGTTTGAAAACAGCTTTTATTTTTATCATTACCAGACGCACATTATTTTAAAGTTTCCAAGTTGTAAACAAGAAAGTATCTCACATACTCGTGTGTTTTGTTAGGAATAAGTGCAGAAAGTATTCGCGTGTTCATAATATTGAAGTTAAAACTTTTCGAAATTATATTGACTTCAATTCCCCGTCAATTCCCATTCAATTCACAATCGGTTTACATTAATACGTACTATATCAAAACTGGCGCCAAACCGGCGGTCTTGTTGCCCGCGAAAGACCGAGGAAAAAAACGTCGTGACCATTCACTGAGTGTAGCCGCGGCATTACTGACTCTGGCTCGCGGGGGAGTTCAGAGACTGGACAATGTCCTTAGAATCGACCGCGTATAGACCCCACAGGCCAAGTTGCACATATATCTTCACGCGACCGGCCACTCAATAACGCTGACCATTGCGAACGTTGCGCATGCTTAAGTCTACCGAAGGGTGGAATATTGTCGAGGTTCTACCTGTCTAGGGAACCTGTTCGGAAACTTCCAACAAACCCTAGCAACACTTCAAGGTGAAACCGCACTTTTGATCGCCTCGGTCTGTCGCAAAAAACGGCTTGGCGATCGAGTCATGTTCTAAATAAGTACAAGCATGCGATTCCTTATTCTTTTATACTTTTTTAAATAAAATTAATAAATATCATATATACATATATATACGTTTTTCTTATTTAGGTAACCTTGTCGAGGTTTCTTATTTTTCGAAACACCCTCGAAGATATATGGCTCGTTGCTTTGGTTTATAACAGTAGTTATTTATTAATGCAAGTGTGCATGTGTATATGTGCGCGCGTGGTAAAGTGTAGGTAGAAAATGAATTACGAGATGAGTAAGGCATTTTGTTGCCAAACGACTTATGCAAATAGTATACATGAAAATTCAGATTCAGAGTATAATTAGACTTAATATGAATATGAACGATATTCTCTATAGTAATACTTTTTTACAATAATATATTTAAATTATACTATATATATATATATA